TTTTATTAGCTTTCCTTCTGAAAAACATAGAAACTTCTAAAGAGTGTTAATGATGAATGCAACAATACAAGCTCATCAATGCTCATGACTTGTTTGATCCATTATTCAAAGGCAGATAAATCCTGTGCATGTAAATAACAACCTGTGAGTGATTATCCAAAACCTTTGGGGGTTATCAACTCCAGAAAGGAAGTTTTTTTGTGACAGCAACTGACACAAAGTTGGAGGTTTGGTAGGAATAGATAAGTTACCTGTTGCCGAGGCTTTTTATTTTTTTCCACTCGCCGCCATAAAAAAGGGCATAACTTCATGGTTATTTAACATATTTCAGTAAGGTTTTCAGTATTCTAAAGTGCAAAGGTGTGCCCTTTTACTCAGCATAAAATTAGAAAGGTGTCATTAAAAGCACTCAAGAATGATCATGTAGTGTTCATGATTGTTGCTCACTGAAATTTTGATTCATGAATAAATTGGCTAGGGGATAGCCTATTTTTTTGATAAATTGTGCTGAAATATAGTGCAAGTGAAAGATCAATTTCTGATGATTACTGTGATATATAGTTATGGGGGTGGTATTGATTGACACTAAAAAGTTATTTCCCAGTTTTTGTGACTAGGTGCGGTCGCAGTAAATTACCTCTCAGAAACTTGGTAGCTAAAGGGTTAAAAGGGTTAAGTCATGACTTTTGTCTCTGTAGGTGCATTTGAAGGAGAAGATGTAACTCACGTGGAGGGTGATGTGAACCCTGTACGCGACTTGGAAATTATTTCTGAGGAATTAAGAAAAAAGGTACACTTAAGAAAGAATATTTATTAAAGAGTCAATTACAAGAGTGAGATAATCTAGTTTATTATATAAACACCAGTGATATACCAGGTGGACTTTCATGTGAAAATGTGATATCTTCGCGCATGAAAATAACACATTATCTTCACATAACACAGTAACTATGGTTCATTATAAAATGTGCCTTTCATAGCAAAAGTGAATTGGTTTGGTTTTTCATTGGTGTTTATGTAGAATGATAAATAGCTGCTCAGATATACAAAATTTCTCTTCTCGTGTTGAAAAATATTTCAGCACTCAAAGAGACATTTCGTATCTCTGCATGACCATGTAATATCCTTTATTTATTATTTTGCCGTCTCAGTTAAATATTGTTCTGGTTTTCTTTTCTGTTAGGATGAGGAGTATCTCAAAGATAAAGTGGTCAGTTGTAACTGGAAGGTTACTTCCAATTAATGATTACTTATAACCCATTTACATTCTAGCATCAGTATGCATATTCTCCATACTGTCCTCTAAACATTTCCTTATTTGCTGACAATGAGAATTTGTTTAACGATCAAGAGCTTTATCTGGTGATCATTTCCTTTACTCTCCTGACCTTAAAGTGCCAATGACACTTCTTTTTTTTTTCTATTTCTATTCTACATCAAAATATAATGACTCTTAAACCTGTTTTCGCAGCATTTGTGGTATTTTGCCCTTTTCTGAATTTTCTATCAAGCTCTATAATCTGCAGATAAAATGTCAGGCCGAGCAAAGAGGGACTGGGTGCCATGACATCACAGTAGGAATCTTGTGGAGAGAAATATTCTTTATCTAGTCTGGGGCATTCGAAAAACCCCAAACTACACATCAGAATGGCATTTTTTGGCTAAAAAGATTGTAAACAGTAGCTTCCACACTCACTTTGCTTCTTTGATAAACTTGGTGTTACTACCATTACGTCACGGGTGCCTCTTTAACATGGCCAAAGAGATACAGGGAGCCTAAGTTCAATACAATTTCAGACTTTTATTGCCTTGTAAAATAACAAAGACGTATCAGAATCCCCCACAAATCTTACCAGACACCCTCTACATACTTCTATTTTTATAATTTAATGCTAAAAAAATAGGTGTCATAGGGACTTTATTTTTTTATTTATTTATTTTTTTATTTTTTTTGAATGACGTTGTTGGGCATATCAGATAAATATTTGAACAAGGCAAAAGTACAATAATACAATAACAAATAGAAAACAGAAGAGAAACTGAGATAAAACTGCAGCCAAAAGGGAAGGCGCGAATGGGACGTAAAGTCCCATGCGAGGTGCCATCCATTATGAATTAAAAAAACACCATAAAGTAGAAAATTACAAAAATACAGAATAAATAAATAATTTCAACTTAGTGGCACGAGCACATACTGGCTAGTGTCCACGTGCAGGGCCAATCAATGTCATATATAGTTTTTAGGCGGTCTAGCATTACATTGCAGACAGATTTCTGGTTCGAACCTGGGTTGTCAAAGCTGGTAGATGGTAAGACGGAGCAATAAGGTTCCAAAGTTTAACAATGCAATTAAAGTATGAGGCCTGAAATGTACTGGTTCTACAAATAGTTGTTTTTAGGTTGAAAGAATTGTGTTACTAACACATTAAAGTCCCTATGACACCTATTTTGTTAGCTTAAGAGGTGGCATTGAAAGGAGAAATTAGTTGGTGATCATTTCCTTTATTCTCCTCACCTTAATGTGTGATTCATGGCTGATATTGTAAGGAGAAATTAGATGCTGGTCATTCTTAGGGGAGATTTGGGGTTAAATTGTGAATTTTTTAAGAAGTTACAAGAGACTCTGTGAAATGAAACTTTGGGAGAAAAAGTTTAAAAGATATTTTCATTTCTTAACACATTGTTTTTACTCCTTTGATCTCTTGTTTTAGAACAATATGGACAAAACAGTTGTCAGAGGAGGCGACAAGAAGAGACTAGGGGAATTTGTATGTCGTCAATTTTTTACCGTAATGAATTGATAAAAGGGATGAGAAGAAATATTTTCATTTAACCTGAACTGTAATTTTGATATTTTTTAATTAAAAGTAGAATTGCATAATTGCATAAAATCTGGCATTCTGATTGGTTAATGAAGAGTGAGGTATTAAGTGTAGAATTGCAAGTTGAAAACAAGGCTAAGTGATATTTTTTTGGTATCTCTTGTTTGGCACTCAGAATAAAGACAAACATTGTTATTGCTGTTTTCTTTTTCTTATTTTTATTCAATTATACGATTCAAAGAAAATCAATTATGTGACTCATAAATTCGCTGTGCGACTCGCATAATATCGGCTTTCATGTGCAATTTAACATGGAATTCCCTCATCAGGTAATTAATTTAGTTTGTTTTCTTATGTTTTATGATCTCTTCTCTTGGTTGTTAAGTAATTTTTGTTGTGAGAATCAATTTTTTTTATGAAGAAAAATTCATGCATGTTCTTATCCACTTGGTATATTAGTTAATTTTGAGTGTTAAATTTTGGTAGGAAAGTTTGAAAAAAATTTACCATTGGGTGTCTGAAGAAAAAAAGCATGTCAGATTTGGAACTTGGGCTACCAATGAGGTAAGTATAATATATCATCATCCACACTGAGAGCAATCTTATTTCTACCAAAATTTAACGAGTGGGGCCATTCCCATTTTCTGTAAGGCATTTGACTGTTTTTCATAATCATGCATCCTCTTGAGTGTCAAACTTTTTATCAGCTCAAGGGGATTTTTTTAGAAGTTTTCAGACCAAGTCACAGACAATTACAAGCTACACTCTTGGACACGATTGTTAGGACACTTAACTTCCCTCTCCCCTGCCTTTTCCCCTTTCCCCTCCCCCTCCTCCCCTCTCCCTCCTTCACCCCTCCTCCCACTTCCCCTCTCTCTCCCCCTCTTTCCATCTCCCCTGCACCTCCGCCCAGCCTTCTCAAAATTGGTTGTCAAGATGGCATAGAAACAATTTACGACATCAAAAGTGGGAAGAGGTGCAAGAACATCACAAATGTTGCTCTGGAGAGGTGTTCCAGTCAGTTATATATGCCAGGGAGAGTAGCTCAGAACCATTTAAAGTGAAGTGCTATTGATTTTTGTGGCCACTGTATTTTCTGAAGCAATAGAAACCTTTTTTTCAAGTGGTTTACCTTTTAAAAGTACTGCATAACTATTTGGTATTTTTTCAAATGTTTTGCAAATTAAAAAGATTTAAGTAGTTACATGCTCATTGATTTTTTTGAAAAATTGTCCCTCCATTAACTAAACAATTCCATGCATGATTCCATTCTACATCCATATCTGCTATGATTATGGAAACGATGATGTTAGTTGTTTTCTTGATTTCAGATCGAAGTCCTAAACAAACATCTACTACTCACATCAAAACCTGTGATATATCTTGTGAATTTATCTGAAAAAGACTACATCAGGAAAAAGAACAAATGGTCAGTGTTTTATGCTCTTCGATATTGTACATGACTTACATACAATCGCTAACTTAGGTGTCTTAAATAATGATAACGTATTATGGTTTGTCTCACTTGTGATGTGAATCGCGACACGCCAGTCACAGCTGTGGAATATCAACCAATCACAGCGGAGCATCCTGCTTTACAAGAAGACCCGCAACTAGTCGACCTTATTGCCTGATGAAGACTAGCAGTATGCAGTCGTAACGTCGCTATTAGCATCACAAAAGACCACAGCGTGAGACAAACGATAATAATTAATTGAACAAACATAACCTTTTTACGAAAGTATGGTGGCTTCGTTATATTGCGTTCACGTCGTTGTCACTTGCATATCATGGAACAACTTATAACAACTGCACCTCAACATTTGACAGAAAACTTCTTGTTTTGCATTTTAGGCTGGCAAAAATAAAGGAGTGGGTGGACTCTAATGATAGCGGAGCTGTAATAATTCCCTTAAGCGGTGCTTTAGAATACAAGGTAACCCCGAATAGAAAAAAAAATTGTGTTGAATTTCACGATGTTTGCTACTGGTTACAATGCTCCATCAAAATTTCCAATTGTGATCTCGTTTGGAGTTCGGGATTTTTGCGAACCGCATGGTATAAGGAAGAGTAAGACTCTGAAACCGGAAAAAAATACTTTTTTGGTCATTGAAAAGGGATATTTTGATGTTTACCAGTTACCGCGTTTTGTGATTGCTCAGAGTTACGTCAGCCTTCGAAAATTGCTGAGTACGTACGGTGCGCCTTTTTTGAAAACAACTTACAAATAGCAATCTCCTCAAGACCATGAACCTGAACTCGGTATGACTTATTTTCCAGGAAACTTCTAATTAAAAATTCTTTTTCCTTCTTTTGCTAAGCTTGTAGAGTTGGGTCCTGAGGAAGGCGAGAAGTACCTTAAAGAAGTCGGTACCCAAAGGTAAGCCCTAGTGCTGGGTTATTTTTTTGAAATTTTGTATTACAACAAAGTTTTGAAAAAATGCGGCCAGCTGCGTGAATTGTTTGTAAATCTGTAATTATGTGGAGAGATGACATATACCATTAACAGAAAATAGAAATAATCACTGGAACAAATTAGATTTGAATTCTGTTTTACAAATTGTGCGGTCAGCCTGCAGCGCTTGAGAGCTGCAGCTGGTCTCGCCAAGGGAGAGAAATTGCTTCTATTTTGCTAAGCGCGGTAAGATTTGCAGCATTAAACGAAAGCGAAAAAACGCACTTTAGAGGACTCTCTAATTCTACGTCATAACACCAGAACCAACGTAATCGCAACGGCCAATCAGAGCAAAGTTTGAAAACACAAGCGCGCGAAAACGCGGGGAACCAATTGTGCGCGATTGTTCTGAAGTTTGCATCTGATTGGTTGCGAAGTTAGAGTGGTCTCTTAACCAATTAGAATTCAGTGAAGGAAAACCAATGAAATCCTGTAGTATTGTTGACTTATAATGTAAAAAATTGCTTTATGTTATCATCAGAACAATCATTTTGTAGGCCTATTACAAAATGTACGCCTATTACAAAAGTTCCGATTTCGTACTACTAATTTTAAGAAATTTTTCTAAAGCTTTCTTTACAAGCTATCTGTAGAGGCGATGAAATGATAAACAATAATTGCAACTCCGTCAGACACAGATGTGTTACTGTTTTTTTTTTATTATTATTATCATTATTTTGTTACCAGTGTTCTGGCTAAAATTATTACAACTGGATTCAAGGCTCTTCAACTTCAGTATTTCTTCACGGCTGGAAAGGACGAGGTCAAGGCGTGGACAATTCTGGTGAATAAACTAATAACAATAATAATAATAATACTATTATGTGGCTGTGTCTCAGAAGGACTGGGAACTACCGAATTCACGAATTTGATTGGCTGAAATCAATATTGAAAGCGGTCTAGATTTTCCCATCTAGACCGGCATCTAGACCGGTTTAGAAAAGAAAGTTACAAAGAATATAATGTTCCGTTGCTTTCTAGACACAGCCATATAATAAACATCTTATTAACCGAGCTAGGTCGGTCTGTATGGGAGAATCTTGACCTCGGTCAAGATTCTCCCATACAGACCTCCCGCTCGGTTAATAAGAAGTAAATAATAATTTTATTATTTCTATAGCGCAAAATCCATTAGATATATGATCTAATGCGCTTTACAAGTTAAAAAGGAAAACTAAATACCTTTATAAACAAAAATCGTTCAGTTAAGTTTATATTTTTAACTCCTGTCTACCTAACGGACGAGCGAAAATGTCCGTCATTTTTCAGGTAACGTTAGCCCTTAAACTCCCAGAAGTGATTATCATGTAACTTCTTCCTATCGTATCCATACATTATCCAGCAAACGGGTAATGAGAATATTCAAACTTATCAGGTAGAGGTTGTAAACTTGATCCAACACCAAATTCTTGTAACTAGTTACAAGGGAATGTGCAGCAGCTAGAGGGGAGAATTTGCAATCAGATCTTGGGAGTTAAATGATAAAAGGCCACAAAGAAACAGAGAAACTATTTAAGAGTTCAAGCTCAACAAAGCAGGAAATTTTTGATGCCTTTCCAAATATTCAAGTCAAAAGATTTCCAACAATTTTATTCTCCATTGTTTATCTCGACTGAACGGTGAAATGAATTGTTTGTCCTTAAACGCAGTGGCCTCCAATTCAGAATCTGACAGTCGATTCTCTTCTTCTCTTTAGAAAGGCACTAAAGCACCTCAAGCTGCCGGGAAAATCCACACTGACTTCGAGAAAGGTTTCATAATGGCGGAGGTGATGAAATTCGACGATTTTAAGGAACTCGGTTCAGAGTCGGCTGTCAAGGTGAAATATCTTTGAAACAAGATTGAGAAATAACTTTGAGAGGGCTTTTTTATTGTGTCGTAAAACTAAAACCAAAGTAATCATTTCGACCAATCAGAAGAAAGGAAAATAGCTTAAAGAGCCAATGAGAAATCGAAGGAAAACCAACAAAATTGCCTCTTGCCTCAAGCGCGGCAAAACGCGGACGACCGAGTTATGGTTGGTTTTAGTTTTGAATCTGATTGGTGAGGAATTGGCGCGAGTTTTCTGGACCAATCACAGTACAAAGTAAATTGCTCTAATCTTTGTCTCGTTTTCCTTCGTCTGACTATTTTCATATTGTCTGTTTTTGTTGTTTGCCCCATAGGCTGCAGGTAAATACAAACAGGAAGGAAAAAATTACGTTGTTAATGATGGTGACATCATATTCTTCAAATTCAACGCTGGTGCTGGTTTGACGGAAAAGAAGAAAGCCAAATGATAGTTGTATCGCACATCTTAAATCGTCAATGATTATAGAAACAAAATAGTTTGGTTTTATCAAATGATTTGATAATGTAAATTGGTCACCATTAAGGGTCTGTGAAAATGATGTTTCGAAGGTTATCCCTTCGACGCTCGAAACGCCAGCTTTAGAAACTATTTTTGGTGGCAAATTTATGTTATCAACTTGTTTATAAACCAATTTATCTCGTTATACCTACTTCTGACGCAGCACTTTCAGCAAAAATAGAAACACGTTCTTACTCTTAGACGTAAGCTTAGACCTCTTAGTTTTTGATGGGCGGAAAATTCAAAGATTTTGTGTGCCAAAGAATTTTCTTTTAAATATTTCTGATAAGAGAATTTATGGTTGGCTGCAGTTGTACATCAAAAGTTGTATCCAGCAATCCGTGTAAAGTTCCGTTGAAACTTGGATATTTCAGAGTTCAATAAGCTTTTAGGTATTCGTCTTTTGTAGGGGGATCTAGGTACGCACTGCAACTGCTAAGCTACCTTTGGAAAAATAAGACTTGAATGTAAAAGGAAACTTTAAGCATTGATTCTGAATTTGAGCGTGAGTTCGTACAAAGCATACCGATCAAAATATGTTAGGCAAGGGTCGAAAAGATACTATTTTATTATGAACAGATTCTTTTATCTTAAAGGATTATCGTGTCCTTACTAGCCCAGCTAAGAGGAAAGGACTCTGCACTAAGTCTTGGTATGAATTCTATAGCATCGCAAGTTTGTCACTAAACCCTACGTGACCCTTCGTGACAAACCAGTAGGGGATCTTCAGGAGAGTGCGTTACGAATTAAGAAGGGGGTCGTTCGAGAGGATTGCGTGACGAGTTAAAACAACGTCTATGCTAACGACCTTGATATGTCTTGACAGTCGAACGCATATTATCAGCAGAGTCTAGTGTCACTTGAAGCTCAAGTTTGTTTTTTAAGCTGCAAATTCAAATAAATGAACAGAAATTTAAAAGGCGAAGTTGTTGATTGCATACTGATTACCATTGTGCGTGCTTCTACCCTCGCGTTCGTCCCACGCTTGCTGTGTTTGGTTCCTTTTTCTTCCGTGATGCATGTATCTGGAAATCACCGTAAACAAGGAAAACTTTTCTTAGAGCTTTATGTCGCTCCAAGACGAGATAAGAGGCAGCTAGATGTAATTAAAAACTGTTGATGAAATGTTTGAGGGGAATTATTGAACCAGACTAGTTTGTGTGTTCTGCATTGGGTTCAAGGGTAAACGCCTGAAACAGGTCTACACGCTCGGCAAAATGTATTCATGAATCCGCTTATTACTCTTTGAACCCTACATGGATCCAATATATAGTTAGAAAATATCATTTTCCAATTATAGACTTTCTAAGTCGTTCGAAATGTATCTTAATTGTCTGCCGGGAATCACCCGCAACGGTTCACAACAAAACCTCCACATTGTTGTGCATTGCTGGCCTACATTTTTTATTCCCCTTCCAGAGAGAACAAAGCTGTTCATTGGTTGCTCGAGGAGCGAATCTCCGGCGCGCGTAAGTTTGTGTTCTGGTTGTTGAAGCAATGAACCGTGCTACAATGTTGCTGTTTTTTAAAAGGTGAAAGACAGCTGCATTTATAGGCCTTATTAAAAAAAATGTGGACGGCTTGAGGAAAAGACTTAGCTCGTTTTGCCTGCCTTGGTCAACAAGACATGCAGGGAGTGAGGGCCTGTCATATATATGTTGCAAAGGAAAGGAAGTTATTCGAAGGTACCAAACCTTTTCCTTATAATTTTGAGGGGAAACATCTTCGTCATAGTTCCTTTAAAACCAAAAAACTCTGTTTCCAACACTCTGTTCTAACCCTTTATTGCTTGTAAAGAAGAATTTTCGCTATGTGTTTGCATTAATTTGTCATGGCAGATGCGATCTGGTCAGAGCACTTGGTCCAAATATTAGATTCTTGGCTGGGTCAGATATGATGCATTGTTTTCTTGTGGAAAACATTTTACTCAGACAGTGCATCTCTCCGCTCAGGAGCATGATTGGGTTTCATTGAATCACCAATACTTCTAATTGTCCACTGCCAGAAAGACCATACCTAGCTTTCATGGTTGTGGCCAAAAATCACCTTAGTCACCATTTTGATATGTACGCATGTGAATAATCCCATGACACTTGCATTTTTATAAAGAAACTTACAATTTGTTGTTGTTATTTTATATATAATGTAGAGGTGTGGTAGAGGTTGTTTATTACTCGTAAAGAATGACTAAAAAGAATCCCCACTGATGGAGATCGTGTAGGTGTCTTTTGACACCTTCTCTCAAAGCGAAAGCAGGTAAGAACCATTCGAAATTGCCTTCAAAATAAAGAAAGTAGGATATTCCTCTAAGCTTTATGACTAATTGATAATAATTTAAAAATTAATATTCAAACTAATTGGAAATAAGCACAGTAATTAAACATGAACGCAATGTTCAAGAACCCTAACTGGCAGGAGGCAGACAATGTACAAAGAGCAACCAAAGAGTTGAACTCAGGGTAACTGAGAACAAAATCCAGTGAGCAGCAGGGTGGAGGATATGAACCCCCAGACTGCTTGACCACTCTGCCCCCTCAAACCAAATATTCTGGCTTATCACACATGCTTTAGTTGAGAAACTTTTTTTCACTGAGTTCCAAGTTTGACAGTAGCACTTTTGGAAAAGGGATGGTAAATCTAGGTATAACAAGTTATTATTTCAAGTGGCTTCCAATTCTATTTAATATTATGCCACTTTGTATAAATTATAATTATTTTACTAATATAGCATGAGGGTACATTATGAAATACAACTGAGATGAAATTCAGTTAAAAGAAGGTATGAAATTCTGACTCTTTATCTATTAATTATTTATGCATATCAGTTATTGCTTAAATTTAGATTATATAGCAATTAAGTTATGCCATAGAATCATGAACTAGGAGAATTTCAGCGCATTTTGTGTTTTTTTGCCCTTGCTTGATATCACTATTAATAAAATCTAACTTTGTTGTACTAGAAAATAATGTTTATGTGGTATTATTAAGTGAGGTTAATCAGCCAGAATCATAAGTACCCCATGTTAAATGCAAGCTGGTTTTGTAGACTTCCCTTGCAAGAAAAGGGAACCTGTATTTTGGAACACTCCGCTACACGTGTGACTTGCATGAGGTTAAAAACATGCTTTCTTTCCTGATAACCTGTACACCCTAACATCAGAATGCATAATCTCCAGACTGTTCTCTATACGTATCCTAAGGGGCTAACAAGGAGAATTTTTGGAACAGTCAAGAGCTCCTATATATAGTTGGTGATCATTTCCTTTATTCTCCTGACCTTAATGTGTGATTAAGGGGTGATATTGTAAGGAGAAATTGGATGCTAGTTGCTCCTAATGGCAGGTCCAAGGGTTGAGGCTACAGAAACTACCATTTTGTATAGTCAGAGTACTGATATTGAAGAAAACAATGAAATAGGTAAAGTATTGTCCAAACTTTAGACAAACTTATCAGCTACGTCCATTTTTTTTTTATTTTTATTATTATTTCATTTTTTGTTTTAGTTGGAAACCACATACTAGCTGATAAGAGCAAAGAGTGGTCACTTGAAAAAAATAATTGAAAAGCTTTAGACAGATGTATGCACAACTTGGGGCTTTGACCAAATTCTTTTTACTATCCAGTGCTGTCTTTAATGTTACTTACAAGGAATCTAACTGATCTTTTATCTGTGGATAAAAGATCAGGTGACCTTTCAAATTTTCAGCCCTTGAGCAGACTCCTCTCATATGATAATGTTTACTCTGCTGTACAAGGTGGATCTAACTTTGTCTGTGGATAAAACCTTAATTTTTGACCATTCAATGAAAGCCTCCAAGCACTACTATCATGTGGTACTTTTACAACACTGAACCCTAGTTTGTGACATTTTTGTCATGTAGCACTTTTTTTCCTGTTATTATTTACTTTTTTGTTAACCCTTTCACTCCCAAGATCACATTATAAATTCTCCCCTCTAACTGCGACACATTTCCTTATAAATTGGTTATGAGAATTTGGTGTTCAATCAAGGGAACAACTTCTACCTGATAAGTTTGAGTATTCTCATTACCTGTTTGCTGGATGATGTGTGGATATTATGGGCAGAAGTTACATGTTAATCACTCCTTGGAGTTAGCGCAAGTGCAACTGTGTTGAACCAGTGACTACCAAGAAGTTTTTTTCGTCGCTGTAGGCTACATTATGCAGAAGACTAATTTTTCGGGTTCCTTACTCCCAGAGTTCCACAAGGAGCACTTTCATCAATTTTTTTTAAGCCGATTCTTTTTCACTCACACAACAGACTTCGCTGAAAAGCAGGGACTGTCTGTAGCCTATCGTACTGTGTTATTTAATACACCAGTTTCAAATTAAAATCAGCTGAGAAAGGCTATCACCAAAGGCGGATCCCAGACCTTGAGCAAGGAGGGAGGGGAGGGTGGGGTTTTATGTGTGTGTATGTGTGAGTGTACACCTGCCGGCTTTTCTTCCCACTGCACTTTTTTTTACCCAAAATAAAGGGGGCCGGCCCCCCCATACCCCTCCCCTAGATCTGCCGCCGATTACATCACCGTGATTTCCTATCCCAATGAAAGCTTTTCTGCAGTGAGTAGTAATTCGACTTTCATGTGAAACTGTTTGTCTCGTTATTGATAACCAAAGTTGTTCTCCACCGCTTGAGTTATAGCGTCATCTTTTTCAAGGCTAAATAATTTTTGAGAGCTAATTTAGACATTTAATGATTCCCCGTTAAACTTACCTACTGGAGAAAGGATGACACCTGAACAATGTACAAAGAACATGAAAAAAGGTACCAGTGAAGACATAGAGAATTTCAATGAATTGGTAATACCGACCCATCAATTGACTTTTTGTTTTTATACAAGGCTTTGATGAATACTGTTGAAAGCTTCGTAATAGTTAATATATGCGTTAGTACTATTTGAGATATCCATGGTCCGACCCAGTAACATCTGCAAAACTAAACTTTCTGTCCGATGGACCTTTGAATCCTTTTCCGAACATTATTTTTTCTTCAACCATGTGATAACGGGATTGTTATTTAATTAAGCAGGTTATTAAGAAAAAAGGGTAAATAAGCACTGGTGGGAAAAGTTTGCTTTCGGGCCAAATGACTTTTTCTGTAAGAGTTTCAAGATTGTTTTATTTTGCGACATGCAAAATTAAGCTAAAATGTCACAGTTTTGAAAGTTTCGAGTTACAACCCGTGTGAACCTTCTCCACTTTAACAGTCCTCATTCGATCTTTGTTTATCACCCCATCTCTCTAGTGATTCTCCATATTTTAGTGTTTATGATTTGTGATTTTTCCCTCCAAATTTGACAGCACGGTTTTGAACCGCGCGATAAAAGCAGAACACCGCGACTTTCAGGCGTTGAATTGAGGTTGCTGTAGAGGGAATATGTTAGGAACTTGTGATGCTGAATTTTGTAAGGAAATGTTTGGATTGACTTTATTTAGTGATAACAGCCGAGATATTTTCACTGGTCGTTCTCCAATCTTTACAACAATAGAATCGCCAGTTGGCAGGGCATTTCCACTTTGCTCTGTGTTACTCAACATGATAACCAAATGATCTTATCAAGAATAATAACCTACAGTGATTCTATCGCGTTATTTTTCACGTTTTAATGCTTGCACGCTGTGGAAGAGGCGTCTGAAAGACGGAGCGCTCTTTCTCAGATACCCTTTGCATTTCCTCTGCGCGCCGCTTTTAAAACTCAGTCATTGGATGTTGCTGCGCGCATGTAATAAGCGGTTACTCGTGGCTCCACGGGGGTCTCCCCACCTTGGCGCCAAGAGCTATTTCGATATGAACAAAACGCCGGCCTCTGTTCCACCTTTGTTTAGCGGTTGTCGGTTGCTTTTAGTCGTGGCATTGTGGCCAAAGCATTTTGCCCAGAGGCGTACTTGTTTGTTGATATTCAATGTTGTCGTTGAGCAAGAAAAATAGCTGAGAAAAAACTTGAATACCTCCCGAAACTCTGACATGATGGTTTTCCCAAACTTCGCTTTTCCGCCGGCATTTTCGCTGAATTTTGGGTCAATTTTACTCAAGTTGCTAAAATAACGAAGTTAAATGTGTGGCAAATGAGTTTTAATTTGTGACAATTGTTCTAGATAAGACTACAAAGATCAAGCTGGCCTTTTTAGTTTTGTAACAAAGTTCTTTGATGAATAAAAAAATAAAAAAAAAACCGATTACCTGCCCGGTAAACCTCGCACGAGTTAACTTTCTATTTCCCAAACGATCCTTATCCACCCCATTAAAAAATAATTTTAGATTATTCGTATTTCAACTCCTCGACTAAATTTTTTCAATTAAGTTTGATTTATATTTCACGCTGTGTTGAGGTTCGATTCAATATTCAAGTTTTGATAAATTTACTTGACCTCATTTATCACAGATGAATTTTCTTTATGTCCTGAATGGAGTATTACACTTTTACTTTGTTAATTGTCTGTTTCGTACTGTGGAGTTTAAGCAAAGACTTCTTTTTTTTCTTCATTTTCATGATGTTAGTTTGCATTGGTTTTTTTTTTTTTTTTCTTTTTTTCGTGTGTGATCAAATATTACAATTTCGGTTCCGCTTGGTCTGGTCTGATATTCCTCTTCCTTTGAATACCAGATAAGTGTTCGAGAACTCAGTGTGTCCGCAATACACATTTGTTGGTCGTAGTGGTCCAATACTTTGTAGCCGTGATCAAAATTAGTTTCTCTCTGCAATTTTAGCACACTGACAAGCAGACAATTTCGGAGAATCAGTCAGGTCATCTATTTGGCCTGATGAACAATTCAAATCTCCGAACATATTTCACAAGAAATGCAAGGTGGGAGGTTAGGAGAATTGTTTTTTTCTGTGTGTAGTTAAACAGGCGAGATCAGTTTGTTGAACTGACGCAGTCTGTACCAATCGTGTGGTGTTAAATCACATGCTGTGATTTAAAGAGGCTCCGCCTTCTGAAAAGATCCTTTAATGTAAACGAGCGATCATTTTGTTAATGACTGTCATTTCGGAGCTGCGACGTCGCAAACAGGCATTCATTCAGCTCCGAATTTTATTTTTAACATCACCTCGGCAGAGTTTAACTTCGTTTTAGCCGCGCTCCTCGCAAAAATCTCTTACGCGCGCAGGGTACAAGAAGACAGACACCGTGGACAGAAGGCTTTGGGAATGAGAGAAGAATTTCGCGAGGGCAGGTTTAATTAAAGAACGAACATTTCTCGCCTTATCAAGTCTGAGTCATGTTCGGCGTTCCGATGCCTACATTTCCAGCGGGTTCTCCTTGGAAAATTGGAGGCTGGATTACAGAGGTAAGATTTTATTTTTTGTCTGAGTGTAAAAGTTCTTAATGCTTGTTCGTTATCTTGGTTTTTCTCGTGTTAGAGCGTAGAAAGTTGTACGTTGTTGTCGGAATCGTTTGAAATCATCAGTATTTGTAAACGAAACTGAAAAACTCGCTGCAGTCTGGTTGTCAGTTGCCTTCATCTCCTCGAGTTGACTTTATGTACTGTTACTATTTAAACTGCGCTTGAATGTCTCCAAATCGTTTAAACAGTTCCAATCTTGCCAGCCTTTTGGGCGGGCGAGGCAGCTGCGTGCAGTTAATTTTTAATTTTTGTAAACTGTACATTACCAAATATAACACTATTGAGGCTGTATGTATATTTTAGCCACATATTCCCACCCTTTCCTTCCTTTGCGTACTCTACACTCTTGTGATATTTCACTGGATAAGAATATAGGTTAATTTTGCAAAAAATAGAAATGTGTTTAGACATGTTCTATAAGTATCCACTCGACTTTTGATAGCTTATCTCAGTCACCTCAGCTGTTTTATATCGCAGTGTGAAATATGATTTCATTTTTGTATTAAGAATAGGGTTATTGATATTCCTTTATCCAATATAGGATTTCGATGAGATTTACTACGTTGTCTTTCTTGTTTTAATGTGCGACATAACTCGTATCGGGAGTGGGTTGATAGATCAAGACTTGGGAGACTTCCCGGGCGTCCTAAACAATGTTTCGTAAAGATTTGCTGCTAGAAAATCGAAACAACTAAGGCTAGTTAAAGACGGCGATAATATGTTCTTAACTTTGTTCTTTTTCTAAAGGGATGAAAAAAAATAGGCCTTTAAAAAGTTGCCGCTATTATAGGACCATGACTTAAAGACGCGAAGACTTTCAAGAGAGAGTAAATTTAGAGGATACACTGTATCCTCTCTTCAGAAAGTCTAAGTTCCTTCATGGGTTAAAATACAACGGCTTCTTTTGTTAAAGAAATCCTCATTTCTACTTCTCGTTCATGGAGATCGATTGAAAAATGTCTAAGCATTGTTGGACAAAGTGTCTATTAAAATGGGCTGTGTTAGAATGGCCCTCCCACTTTGTCGTGACTCGGGTGACAAAGCGTGGCACCAAAATCAGGTTACTTCTCCTGCAGACATTTGATTCGCCCCCAGAAAAGTTCTAAACACTGTTGGACATTGCTCACAATAACGAAGTAAAAGCATCTCTTCCCTTTTGAAATTGCAAAACATTCTTTCATTGTTCTACTTTACAACCCACTTTTCAATTGCCTTTTATTCTATGTAAAGCTTTTGGCTGTTTCAGTATTGCGTTAACTTATTGTCGAGGCAGTAAGAGACTTCAATCTCAGGCTGTGCATAATAGAAAAAATCGCCAGTACTCTGTAGCGGGCCGGTTTTTCAGGATTTCAACGAGAGTGTTTGTCGTGTCAGTCCCCTGTTTGTTTACTTTTCTTTTTTACTAGATTGTTGTCAACCTCAAAGTTGTTAATTATACAGATGGCAGGTAGCTTTCATTATCTGAACGGACTGAAATCTTTTCTTTTACCCCCAGTATGCCATGGGGGCTTTGTGCAAACTTTAGGCGCATTGTAGACCTTCAGCTCCAAAAAAGTCCTTTCGAAAATAAGCCTTTGTGCAAGTAAGTTCTCCAACGCGCTAGCAATTTCAATTTGGACGTTACCAAACGCGAGATTTTTTACGATTTAAGTACGTTCTAACCCGAGAGACAGTGACCACTCCTTTTTCAACAGTTTTCATATCAACGCGTTATTGCTAAGAATTCCTATGTAACCACCATTAGTTGCGCCACCTAGGAGTTTACAACTTATTAGATTGTTACAACGCATGTCCTCTCGAAGACATGGCAACAGACAATTATTTTACGAAGTCTCCGTGAATTTTAAGTTAAACACTAATAAGAAAAAATTCCAGAGTGTATTCTCGTGAAATGTCACGGCTGCTTTCGTTTCAACCACAGGTGTAGCATTCTTAGTCCCCTTGATAAACTAGTCTCCAGTTTTTAGTCCTCTAGTTCCGTGATAAGAACTAAAATGCCTTCCCTGGCGCTACCAAACTTGAATGTTGCTTCTGGAAATTTAACATTTCCCACAATTATTGTGAGTTTCTTTGTATGTGTATGTATATGATTTCTAATCTCCTGAGGCTTTGGTAACGAGTTACAATCGTTTCGAGATGTTAAAAGGTGTTCAGTGTTGAATTTCGAATTCCCACAACTGTAAAAAGGAGTTGCTGATTTGAAGAAATACTTTGGATGGCGGAAATTGTAGCAGATTACAATCCGTGCTCATCTTTTTCATCCGTGTCCGTCGTAATACCTTTTTGTCGTGGAGAAATTCGCTGGCGTTTGTATACTTATAAGTGAAGTAGACCGTTATTTAGTTCATTTCTGAATAGGAATTTAGACGTCGCAAAGAAAAAAAAAATTTCTACCTCCAGCGGGTATCATTCCGTTCTTGGACCGTACTTTAATGTACGCTTTACATCAACATCTATGTTCACCATACTGTTCGCTATACAATTCCTGGGACACCAACAAAGATAATTTGTCTAAGAATCAGTGGTTTCTTTACCTGGTGATCTTTAACTATTCTTATGTCCTAAATATGTGAATCAGGGATGGTATTGTTTGGAGAAATTAGATACATCTCACTCTTACGGCATCCACTTCTTTATAATGCGATGAAAAGTTGCTTCCAGGTCGGATTTCAACGATGTCTGTACATTTATCCGTTAATTTACAGCAACTAGACTACACAAATCAAAGTTTTCACGTTTTAAAAAGGTTTAGCCTTGGCACACCTAGGCATTCTGATATTCAAAGTTCCAGCGTGGATGAGAAGTCGCCATCAGATAGAAACAAAAAAGTCCTAAGCAAAGAGAGTGGAGTTTGTGCTGATTATTGACCATGAATTCGTACCTGCAAACTTCCCTTTCACCCACATGCTTCCTCCTTCCTCTTGAACAGAAAATGACGGCCTACTGCTGAGTTGAAAGCAAAATATTTTGCTCTGTCGCTTGGCGTGGTTTATTTTTCGCGTTCCTCACTGTTTGGTACCCCTGCTGTGGAACCACAGAGGAGCACAGCTGTCGCGGTGCGGGGCGCCCAACAGGGGCATCCCACTGGGTACCCAACAGGGCTCCGTTCCGCAACCAAAGCGGTGGGTGAAAAAATCCTAAACTGCTGGAGTGCTGTAGTTGGGCGGCTTGGTAGGGTGTTGTATGTATGCAGCTTGCATGCCATCTGTTACCAATAGGAAAGGAAGTTTGGCTTTGTGAAAAACTAAAGGACTGCAAACAGCGAAATAATTTGTTGCACAGTAGTGGATCACATTGATTTAGAGATCGCTCAAGTGTTTCATTTAACCATAACAGATTTTTAATGAAAGATTTTGAAGAATATATCACGCTTGTTAGTAAGACAACTACCCTACTCCGCCCCCAACCTGTGGACTCGATCCCCTTCAGTTGGTTTCTTAAGTAAACTGCAGAGAGCTGGCGAAATCATTTGTCGTACCATATGCTAGTTGCATAAGCGACAATCGTCCAACATACCGACATTGTCATGTATTGCGCTGGAGTAAGAGAAAGATGGTTTATCATTTAATTAAGCTCCATCACCCAGTGAAATTCTTCCAAATTTTTCCCAACAGTTCTTTTCTTAAATTTTGTGAACGCTTCAATGTCAACCGAAATTTACCCATGTATTTCCAAATAATTACTTTCTAGAATTTTCTTGAAAAACTGAGCAGTAATTTTCAGGTGTGTGTGTGTGTGTGTGTGGCAAAGCGAGTTTTAGAAAATTGACGTTTTATTGTTAGATATTGGTCTGTGTTTCGGCTAATAGTTTCGGCTAATACCGCTAAAATCTTCAAGAAGGTCCAAGGGTAAAGGTTATGAATCAATATATTTGGGCTGTTTTTCACTTTTGATGAAGGGTTTAAAACTCGTAATCTTGATTTCACAAAGTTGTTGAGCGTTTGATTCACGACCAAAGCAAACTGTGTCGCTCGGAAACAGAAGTAATGGCTACTGAACAGAACTTGCTAAAACCATTAAGTTGGATTGTAGAATATTGTGTGAATGTTTTTTCTTTTCCTTTTTTCTTTTTTTTTTTTTGTCGCAAAACGATCAAATTTCCAGGTGAAAAAGTCACTGGAAATTTGTCAAGTAAATATTGAAATCACAAGGCGTTTCAATATTATCGAGGTATCCTTCATCTGCGGGAATTAAGTATGTTATGGTAAATGTAGTTAATGCCCTGACCTGAAAGGCGTGTCCAATCTGTCACTTTGTTTCCGATTTATGATGTTCCAGCACGTTCGAAGGTGTGAACTTTGTGATGCTAGTACTCGAATGTTAAGTGCTCTCACACATTTCTTTGAGAATGCAGTCGCAGCGTTTAATGTGCTTCCTCGGGGACTTCTAGTGTACCAAGCATGAGTAACCTGGCGACCTTTGCACAGGGGTGGTCGCACGTGGATAGGCCGTCTTACAAAAACCCACACCGAACAACTTTGCGCAGACATCTAATGCTTCCCCAGAGACCTGTAAGGCCTCGTGCGGGACTGCAATGAATATCATAATTAAATCATGGGTGTGCGAGCTAGCCCGACTTGAGTGGCTGAATATGTGTGTACCACAAATATGTCTAATATTTCCTTGTGAAAGGGTAAAATTATGAAACCTCAAATGTTTTGGTGTGAATTGATAACCAAAATTAACGATAATATTTGTTTGTTAATTTGAAAAGAACTATTTGACTCATTATTGTTATATATTTATTTACTTGAAACTAGTACACTATTTCGGTATATTTTAACGTAACACATTTCGTTTCTTCGCCAGAAATTGATTCCGCGATTTTGTCGAAACGCTAATTTTTTTCTAAATTTTTTATTCAAAACTACACTAATGAAAACGTTATGAAATTTCGTTGTTTGGAATATTACTCATAATGACATGGTATTGTCTGTCTGCCT